TATATATATATATAAATGATATATTTTTTTTTTTTTTTCGCTGGTCGGTAAATAAAATTCTCCTTTGGTCCTTTCGGTCGGTGAGTAAAAAAGTTAATATCGGACCCTGCTTACTACCTTTTCTTTCCATGTCAACATCTACATGGTTTTACTGGGGGAGTGATATCAGTCAGTTTATGCTGCAGAAACTACACGCTGTTTTTAGTCACAATCAAATGCTAGACAGTCTTCTGTTCATTAAAACACCTATGCATTCATACCTGATGATGTTTTCACCTCCACTTTAATCCAGACACCATGCATGGATTAGAGAAAAATGATCAAAACAAACACATAATCCAGCCTATGTTTAGAGGCTGCAGAGGACGGGGTCCCGCTACGGTCCAGGTCAGGAGTGAAGGTGACAGGGATTTGGGAAGATTAGACGGCTTAGGCAGCTTTTGATAAAGTGCATGGCAGCAGTGAATAGATGGAAAGAGCATCCCATCAGTTCTGATAGTGGTCCAATGAGGCAGAGTAATCCCACTGATGTCATCTTCTCCACCAGCTGTCTAATGTGGCTCTGCAGCCTAAACTACAGAAGAAAAAACTTTTTAAATAAAAAATTAAAATGATGCAAATTCTTTGTCCAGTCCTGGAAAAAAAAAAAAATAACATTTGTTATTGTAAATCTTTCCTCTACCACTAGAGGCGCCTAAGTAAACCCATTGAAATTCACTGATCAAAGAGCTGCTTTCCAAATATCCCAGTTTACCGCTTCAGTTAGATTGCTGTAAAAAGAAGGAAATGCAGTAGAAGCACATAAACTGTTTATTGTTTTTCTATGCTATGATGTCATCATGCTGACTTTTTGCTTTTAGGTGTAACATATGTTGGTGATGATTCTCTGTCATCCAGTTCTTTGTTGTTTAGTTAAAAACAAAATCGCTGGACTTTTTTTTCAGGTTTGGAGGTGTTTCGCAACCCATACAGGAAGGTTTCAGGAGATCTGTCTCACGCCCTGCAGTAGTAGGACATCACAATTCTATCGGGTTATAAGTGAAGCTCAGACACCCCAGATGGAGGGGTTGAGAAAGCGCTGATTAACTTAACTGATTTTGTAATTTTATTTCAGTTTAATATAGGAAACAAGTCAGAATTAAAGTGAGAATTCTGAGATTAAAGTCAGAACTCTGAGATTAAAGTC